CGTACACTGGCGCCATGATGAACTTACCGGGGCAAATTCACGAACAAGTTCAGTCGCAGAGGCAGCGCGTAGATGTTGCGCTCAGACGGGCATCTATGAGAGCGCGCAGGTGAAAACCCGGGCGTCCGAAATACCAATTTCGGGCGCGTGCAGCTTGCCCGCGCCTATAGCAACAACCCACAATATTCAAAGAGATTACCACATAGAGCCCTTGCAAAATGGCCCCTTTCAGCCCACTGTTGCTAGGTCCGGGCACCAACCGCTACATTAACATTGCTACTGTTACTAGCCGCCTCCTCGTGGAGTTTATGATCAATTTCAGTAAAACGTAGTGCCTAGGGGGTGCCGGTTACGAGTAGTAGTAGTAGTAGTAGTAGTGGTGGACAGTTCATGACAGAACCAGCTCATGGGCATGAGAACCATGATGGCTGCCCAGGCGGGGGGCGATTCATCGAAGGTGCAGCATCAACTGACAGGCGTGCTGACCGTGCGAGCTTCTCTGAAGGGCTTCGCAGCTCTACGTGCCGATGGCAGCGTGGTGACGCGGACGCATTGGAGTCATATGCAAGCCTAGAGCACATTCCTGTATGTGGGCATCAGCGAAGCAGGACACGATTCACAAGTCTGAAAACATGCTATACAGATGCCGAAGCCAGGCTTGTATGAGCTACTCTTAATATTAGGCTTATCAAGGGGCCGTCAACAGTGGACATAAAGGTCCCTCTTGTAGTTTAATATAACCCCTAATAAAGTCAGTCTCTAATGATGAGCCCATGTCCATTAAATCATGTAGGAAATTTTACCTAAAGCTCATGATAAAGTTGGCACGCAGAGATTTTTTTAGGGATCAACCTCGCGAAATATGTCCAGACATGACACGAGGAGTCTCAAGGCTGCAGATTCGGCATGAGGGTTCACGGAATATCGCGATTATCCAGGATACCAACTGTGACACATGCGGACATCTCTGTGAAGAGCCTTGGCTACAGCCACAAGTAGGCATTTCGCAAATTTTGGCTGCTTGGATGTACCAAGAATGGTGCCGTTGTTGTTACAAAGACCCAAAGTGGGACAGCAATCCCAAAACGTAGGCCTTGAGCCCTAGACCCAAGATCCCCCCTTCAAAAGGGCATACACCTTCGAAAAGCTCTCGAACCAAAAGCCTTGCAGCCTCTAGAATTATCTCTGCGGATGTTTATAGGTCCATAAAACCACCAAAAACAATACTCAGAACAACTTAGGTAACCTGGGGGCACGGCCTTTGGCGAGCCAGTCAGACCATCCTGGATCAGCTGTGGCTGAGCTGCTGTTCCAAGCAGAGTTTCACGGTTCAAGAGGATGTTTAAGCTAATCTTAGAACTTAGGTTGGGTTTGGGGATTAGGATTCTGAGTAACGTCCGTGCCGACTAGGGCCGCCCAACAATTTGCAAAACAGCATACTACACGACGATCAGGATTTCAAACATGGAGCCATAATTTGGTAAGCCCAGAGGTGGGGCGTGCGAGCAATTTATGCCTCAATGGATGCTTTTGCAGCTGTGCGAGATGATGGGAGCCTGGGTCGTCATTACTTGATGATTACAATCTTTGTCAGTACAAAGAGAAATCACAATCATAATGATACAGACAACAGTAACAACACTACCCTAACAGTAAGAACATAATGATTTAGGATTGCTTGTTTTCAATGGAGGTTCAATCCCAGCATTGAGAAAAACCTTTGCACATGGAGGTCGAGATATCAGCGATTCTGAAGAACGATCCTCTACACCTCAAGCCTTCAGTCCTCAAATTTGAACCCGATGTCTCCACCCCAAACCTGGAACTAGAACGCCCCACGCCTTAAACGCTACACTCCAAGGAGCGTGGTCACTTGGGGGGTCGACAACGGTGGGGGGAATTGCGACCAAGTCCAACACCTGTTGCAGGACGACTCGGCTCTGGAATTCTGGGGCTGAGAGTTAAGGGCGTGTGCCTCTCGAAAAATTAAAAATCACACAGGTCATTCGCAGGGTTAAGAAACAAGAGAGGTGTTTGAAACACACAGCGCTTGCCACTTGAGGGTCGAGATCAGACGGGTGCTCTCTCAACAAGAATGAGGGCTGTTTGAAGGAACTCACGTTTGCCATTGTTGCGTCTTTAGGTTTTCGTTTTTGTCATTTTGGATTGGGGGGAATTGCTTCTGCAACCTTCGTTGCACATGGACTCCCTACCTCAGTGATAGCAGAAAGGGCGCAGATTTCCTTGCGGGAAGCTGGGGGCGAATCTTGGATGTGTTTTGCAAACATGTAGACATACAGGCCGTTCAATCTGCAGCTCAAAGAAAAGCATACCGCCGGCCCCCTATCTTACCTGACCTTACATTGACCTCCTCCTTCCTACTTGCCTACCCTCCCTGAGGGTAAAGGTGGGAATTAGAATGCAACTAGCATCAGGACGTGCGCTACATCTCAGCCTCAATGCATGCCTTCGCAGCATTGAATCTGGTTTGTGCTAAGGTCAGCTTGGGATCCGAGATTCAGGATCTAGGTCTTTGACTTTACGGATTAGGGTTTAGGACTTGAAGGGTGTGGAAACGAGAGCTTGGGGTCCAGAACTTGGGGGTTTTTCGCGAAGCAGAAGCACAATCCCTAATACATACGGCTTTAGTCTACAAGGGTCCTTTTTCAGGTTCCATGGTCGCTTAGCAGAGTGTAGGGGTTAAGTGAGATTTTGCATTGAAGGGTTAAGCTTCAAAAGCATGGTTTATTGTGGCATGATAAGTAGCTGGCGTTGTTGTTCAAGGTTGGTTTATGTAGAAGCCCTCAAAAACATGGAGCAGCTTCTACAGGAAAGAAGATGGCACCGTGGTGGCTTGGGGCCACCAAAACTGTGGTGGCGACAGCTACTTGGCAGGTGGCTAGGAGACATTGTCCTGTTCCCTCAAAAATGATATTATGATGCTGTGGGCAACTGAAGGAGTCGTGGTTTCTTAGAATCCTTGCTTCAAGAGTTAGTTGCATTTCGCTCACGTCGGCGTCCCACATCTCAAGCCCCACATCCCAAAGTTCGGCCCTTCACGATTGATGCCTGTCAAGATACGGTTCTCCATCGCCATACAAGATGGGATGCCAAACATTGAGACGCTTCGATCCTGCAGAAACTTGAACGGCTTATGCCTCAACCCTCAAACATATTCCCTGAACCCTCAACCTCAAGGCTATGACCCGGATCCTTAGGCTTAACCCCGCATCCCAAATCTTACGCCCAAATCTCCACTGGATAACTTCAAAGTTCAAGCTCAAGCCCAGGTAGCGCTGTGGAGGCGGAGTTGCGCGACATCCTGGAGCGTTGTGCTCGGGGCTGTTCTGTCGGGGTCCGTTTAAGGGATCGCACCTGGGCAAAGAAAAAAAGAATTCACCTGAAGGCTACTTTGAAGACAGACACCTTGAATAGCCAACGGCTAAAAGCCTAAAGCCTTAGGTTCAGCTCTCCGACATCATGGGGCTACTCATGGGAAAATTGGGCTGGGCGTGGGAGTTGTGGGATATGGGAGGTGACGAAGCTTCCCAAATCAGACGGGTACTTTACCCCAAAATATTGAGCCTGCCGGCTTTGCTAGCTTTTGAAGTCAAGCCCCCAAGTCTTCAACCCAAATCCCGAACCCCAAACCCGAAGCTGCAACAGAGAGAAAAGGAGCGCAAAGTAAGTATTCCTGAAACTTAATTTTCTTGGACTTAATGGGGTTAGCATGAATCAAGCATTTTCAGGGGGTTGGTTCTGGGGTGTGTGCTGTGGCATACCATAGATACAAGTCCTGGAACATGTAGCTTCTTAGATCTTTCTATACAGCTCCCTAAGACGGCATGAACATCCTTGGGATCTTATGGACTATTCAGGAGCACGACGCATCCTCAGAAATCGAAAAGCCAAGAACTAAAGCGCTGAGGGCTCTGGACCATTTGATATCCGAGGAGCATTATTCTGTCCATCAAGCTCCAAAATCTTGCATTTCTCCCTGACCCCCCGGCTCCATGTAGCCTGAACGCTCCAATGATCCAAAGATCTCCAGCAGGAGCTGCACCCATCTCGGGGAGCTTTTGCAGCACTTCGATCTGACGGACGCGTTATAGCGGCCTGGTCTTCACGTTTCGGGGGTTCTGCCTCAGGCGTTGGGATTGAAATTTAGGGCATTTAGGGTTGAGGATGTAGTGAGGAAGCTTAAGTTGGGCTCTATTAGATCTAGGATTGAAGTCTGGTTCTGAGTGAGTTTGGGGTTGGGGTAGAGGGCCTAAGGGCATGTCAGGTTGAGGTACGGCCAGGATTGTCTCACCGTTAAGATGTTGTCGCAGGGATATCAGGAAACCTCGTGATGTTTTCAGGCCTTCATGTTAAGGGCCTAGAAGAGGGGTCTTTCACAAAACGAATGGGATTTCTATACGGAAGTTCGACAGGTTCACCATAGATTTCGTGAGGGTTTGAGGTGTATTCTTCAGGTACAAGCATTACGGGTAGAGAGTTTTGAAAGTATGGTTGTACGGGGCGCAGGGTACAGGTGTAGAGGGCTGTTGCGGGTGAGGTTTGCGCTCTTCCTGAATATTATAGAGCCGGAATAACCATCTTACTTGGCTCATAGCTTAGCTGAAAGCTATCCTTACGACCCCGGACCCTCGGCCATTACATTCCATAACAGCAAGCCCAGAAGCAGCCTAAAGCCTGAAGGCCTACCCGCAGTGCTTAGCAAAAACTGTAACCTTGTAAATCTAACGGAATGCCAATAGAGAATAGTGATTTTCCATCACCATCATAAGTGATGATCAAGATGCATCGAAGCTTCCGGCCCTGGTATTCGCTAGACATGAACACGACATGCCAAAAGTCAACTACGAAGACTGTGGCCCCGCGAAATGTCAACGTCATCCGCCGGAAAGTTCTACCTTCCAACCTGACAATGACTTCGCTACGCCCTGAGACCCCGAGGTGTTCTTGTAGGTTGTAAATTTCCAAATGAAATGTAGACGATGGGCTTGTAAATATACAGGCATCTCAAAGTTATGCGTTCGCTATCGATGCGCAACATAGTTTGGCAGCAGGTACAATATTGAGACCCTGGAATTTCCACTCATAGTGGGCACCTTCCTGCCTATGCCTAGACCTGGGGCAATCCCCGGTGTGGTGGAGACTGCAGCTGCTGGCCCAGTAAGCGGTTGAGGGCTTAGGCTTTAGGGTCAACAGCTTAGCGTTGGGTTCGGGTGATTGGATATGGCTCAGGCCGCTCTGAGTCGCATTGATATGTACTTAGCCACCTTCACGTATTCTGGATGGGTTTGCCGCTCCCAGAATTTGGTTTGTTGACGCAACAGGCTGCACGGAATGAGGGTTTTGGCTTCGGGTGAAAACATTCCTCCTCCGTGACTCAAGCTGCAATCTTGGCGGGGTCCAATTCACCCTCAAGCTGGATTTGGGGCTCTAGTGTTGAGAGTTTAATGTTATGCCCTATGTTTTCAAGTTCAAGCTGTGAACGACGAGCATCCAGGTTCTGTGGCGGGCGCACTCTTCGGCGCTGCAGAGTCTGCGCAGTGAAAAAGGGAGTGCAGACTGAGTGTCCCTTCGAGCCCCTCAGGTGAGCTAGGCTTTTGCCACTAGTTGCTCGTTTTCGCAAGATCAACCTGAGAAGCTTTCAAAAGACATGTCCCAAAACCCTGGCAGGGATGTTGCGTGTGGCTTGTTCCTACACTCATGATGCAGAGGTAGCTGATTGGGATTCTGACATGCTGTGCTCGTGTCCTTGCACGTTTTCATCGGGTCAGGCGGATGCTATGGCATATAATCAATTAACTGTCCCGACGGTTTTGCAGTTTTTGATTCCGGCCATGTATGCCAAAGATCAGGGGATCCTGGTGTCCACTATCAACCTCGAGTACTACCCAAGGCAAAAGTGCCCTACATGCTGCATCCGCAAACACACACCAAAAAGGACCTTTGGTTCCGCATTTGGATTTAAAATCCATTTATCACCTTTCAAAGACCCTTGACCCCCAATTTGGCGCTTGAGGACGCCAGGCGGCCTTCTTTCCAGGCCGTTTGCCAGGCCTGCTTGTGGTTGCAAGTGCTGAGGGCGAATTGCAGCAGCTTTGTATAGTGGTAATCTCGTATACTCAAACCCGAAGGCATCCCAGAACCACCGCGTCCAATTGTTTCACAATGCGGACACCTAATAACTAGCAGTTTTGACAATTGAGGGAGATCGGATGATACATACATGTTGAAAGTCCTGGCACGCCAGCATTTGAAGCCTGCCAAACAAAAGCTTGCACAGCGTGGATGTTCAAGGGAACCGTATGTGCCAGAACATGACCTGTAGTATCTTTGCCAGCATGGATGCTCGGGTCATCCGGCGTGGTTGGCATGGACACGACCCCGAGCGTCCCGTGGTTGTGTGGCGTATGGTTAAGGCCCTTGTGTTACTGGAGTTCTGGGTCCGCGCGCGTTCTTTGCATTTTATTGTAATTACGCCGCAGTAACTGACTGAGGTCTGCAGCTAGCACCTCTGAATTAGCACCATGGTGTTGCAGTCTTCGGGCACCACAGATGCCCAAGATCCAGAGATAGCGGCGTCCACTAATTCCTAAAAAGCCACAACGCCAAGCACTACCCGCGCCCAAAATGCCTTCAGCCCTGAATCCTCAAACCCATCCAAAAGCCAACGCTGCTGGATTCTTCTTTACATCCCCAACCTTGTGCTTCAGGACTCCAGGCGGCCTTCTTTCCAGGCCATTTGTGCCTTTCAAAAGTTGGCTGATCCTTTGGGATTGCGGACATGATCTTTAAGTTTCGATCATTATCATCATCTATACAAGCACCCAAAAGCAGTACAGTAATGAAACAGAATCAGGTTTTAGTTGCACACTAGAACCCCATTCTAGTTGTCTTGGTCCTGTTTTACCAAAGTTCTTTGTCGCACGGGTGCCTGGCATTTTGCAGTACACCACAGTAGCTGACAGAGATTTGCAACTAGCCTTTCTGCCTTAGCAGTACCGCTACCGATGACTACGATTAGATTATATTCCTTCTGGTTGGCTGACAGCAGGGAGCGCGGTGGACGCATATAGGGAGATTAGACCAAAGCTTTGGAATGTTGAGGAACAAACTCGTGAACCATTGGTGGACATGATGAAACTCAGGTAGCGGTGGAGGCTTGACATGAATCATCAGTACAACCCCATGCCCTTAAGTGTCGGTGCTGTAAGAAACAAGAAGACGAAAGGAGAATGTTACCCTACAAGATCATTCTGTGTCTTCAAGGCCTTCAAAAGTTAGGGACCACTTTTGGATGGGATCAAGCTGTGTTCGGACTTGACTTCTCAAATCCCAAGGGCCCTAAAACCCTGAAGCTGTTGCCTCAGCAACACCAGCCTTAAACCAGATTTCATAAAATTCTGCGCTGTTAGCCCAACCCTTGACACTTTCTACGCCAAATCCTAAACCCGCCCAACCCCCAACACCCAAGCCTCGAACCGACTTCTGCATGCAAGAGCCTTGTTCAAGCAGGGTGAAGATGAACCACGCTCGCTGGCCATGCGCAAGGCCGGAAGATGGAATAAGGAAAGGGTCTGACGCGTTATGGGTTCTAGCTTAATCAGATCATGCCTGCGGGGGGGTTATACTAGATTGAATCCTCATCCGTGCCTTTCTATGTCGTTGAACTGAGGCTGCGGCTTTCGGACCTGTGGCTTTCCTTTGGATGCGACTTCAGGGATAGCTGTTGGCCTTCGACTGTTTATCATTTTTAGGTTTGGACCTTCATGAGAAAGCCCAAGGCTCAGGTACCAGGAGTTGCAAAAGGCCCCTCGCCAAAATCCACTGAAGGATTGTTCTTGTAATCGGGAATGACCCGACAGGTACATGGAGACTATAGGGCGATCCCGGGCACCCAAGAAGCTTATCTGCTTTCACCGCTGTCATATGGCTGGGTTGCGCAACTCAGTATATCCATCTCCATTAGAGAGTAGCGCGTCAAATGGCAGGAGCCGGCTTCAGGCCCTAAAGAGGACAACACTTTCGACAACTACCCAGGTGACCTTAAACACGAAAACGGACCTGCGGGCCATAACCCCTTCCCCATATACCCTAGGCCTGAACCCTGACACAAAACCAATGAAAACCTAAACACCTAAACCCCCCAGCGCAAAGGCGGCCTCCCTGCTGCGAAATTTTCTCTTCAAGCAGGTGGGCCTCTGTGAAGTTTCAAGAGGTATGGGCAACTTTCAGGGCTGGAAGGGAGTCAAATGATGCAGAAGCTCAGAGCTTAGGATTAGAATGGTGACAAGTCCTTGTTTCGAACAGTGCGCAAGAGAGACCGAAGCTTGTACCAAAGCATGTAAATTAGTGCGGCAGGGCTTCAAGGGTGTCAGAGATTGCATCTGGCTGATGGGGATGATGTCGATAGGGTTCGGGGTTTAGGCTGGTATGAACTTCGGCTCTAAACCCCCTCTGGGAGCCGCAGAAATTGTCCTTGCTTGTGTTTGTCCATAAAGCCTGAAACTAGGGGTCATATCGGGATAATGGAAAAGAAAACGGAGACTATTACAAAACATTCAAGCATGTAAGTCCCCAACAGAACCAGCCATATTCCCTTACGATCCTCCTTCAGAAAGAGGTTGTCTTGTGCGGTTCCATCTTCTTGAGTAAGCCTGGGACTCATGAAGCCTACTTACTCCCTCAATCCCAAACCTTGCAACCCACCAAACTCCAAATCCACTGCTGCTAATCCCTACATCCCAAATCTTCAAAATCCCATGGCCGAAATCCCAGAACCTGAATCCTAAGCCAGAAGCCTTAAACTCCATGCCAGGAGGACTCACTTCTGAAGTCTTGGTTCAAGTACTTCGACACAAACATGCCCCTTGCCTCTGTGAATTGCAGGAAGAAGTAGGAGGCTTGGGGGGGTAGAACTCAGGGCTGAGGGCTAAAGGTTTAGGGTATAGCCAGTGAGGCTTAGGGTATTTGTTGAGGGCTGCGCAAGAGGCGATGTGCTGAAAGGGCTTAGGAGGAGGTGCGGGGCGCAGCCTTGTTGCTTGCAATCATTGTGTTGGTGCATGTGAAGGTCAAAGTGGGACAGCATTGAGACAAACTCAATAGGCCCAAATTTTTGCGGGCATGGCAGGACCTTTGGATTGGAAGGCAGTTTTCCTAAGTCGCGCATCCGAATCCTGGACATTTTAATATTTGATCCGCCAAGGCAGTCAATGGTGAGCCCAGGTACCACCAGGGCGTAGTTGGGCGTAGTTGACGGAGTAAATCCTAAATCCTCAGCCATGAGAACTTTAATCCTATCACGGGCTCTGTCACCACTTCATTTGGATCTCGAAAGCATCTTGGTATGTAAGGTATGAATGTTGGTGCAATCTCGTTCTTGTCATTGCGAACAACAGAAAGGAATGGTATCATTGAGAAGCACGAGTTCCTGCAAAGCCCGGGGCTCATCTGGCTCCCGTTTCGGGAAAATGTATGAGGTGGGCTCCTGGATGGGTCTATGGGGTTTAGGGTCCGTGCTATGGGCCCTCAAAGAAACACATGGGCTCAGTGCATTGGAGGATTCTGAAGAGTTTCCTGTTTTCTTCTGAAGCCCTCTATGAGTATGGTATAGAAGCCGTCCCAAAGAATGTTTGAAGAATCGTGAATAAAGCGAGAGACCAAAGTGGACAACTATACACGCCGCATGTATCTAGGATCTGGGGTTTAAGTTTGAAGCTTTCATAGAATTCTGGGTGGCCTTGAGCGGGTTTATACGGCACAGGGCCCTACAGCAATGACCGAAAGCCTGAACCTATGCCTTGCGCCGAGCTTTCAAATTTGGGGCTGGAAATGCCGCGGGCCGACACCTTACAGATCTCAGGTTCCCTAGAGTGCAGATTTTCTACCAGAAAGGCTGAACTATACAGCTCCCGCCTGTAAATTGCTGGCTCAATGGCCTTGGACTAACATTTTTAGGTGGTAGCCCCAACCCGCAATAAAGATTTCCAATACGATGCACCTGACACCACAAGCCCTGAACTCGCAGCCGGCTAAGCCCCACAAAGAGACGTAAACATTCTTCATACTGCCTACATCGCGAAATAACTGGACTGTGCCTGAAATGTGCTTGAAATCCAATCTCCAAGATCACCAAAGAGGCTGCCTCACCTGCTCTCATCATGAGGCATGAACAAAATGTCATCGGGCGCCACAGGAAATGGCGAGGCGCCCGATTCTTTTGGGGGCTTTAGGAGCCGAAATCGTTCTTTGAACATGGTTTTGATGTAAAGAGATGAAAGTTTAAGCAGCAAGGCCTAAGAAGGGGTTAAGCATTCAGGAATCATATCCCTACAGAGAGTGCGAGTGGTGAAGAGTCCGGTCTCTCAGGGTTGCAATGACGATTTGACACGTTCTCTCTTAGGGCAGTCCTTTAAATTAAACGGATGCTGTACTTGTGCTATCAGGGTTACGAGAATAATCTATGCCTCTCGCTGCCTTGTGGGTGTGTATGGAAGAGCTGTGAGGCATCGGCCTCCACCCAACAACATCTCATCTCGTTCATCCGC